TTTGTTTTCTGACACAAGGTCTTGTGTATCCCGGGTGGGCACTGAACACACTATGTAGCCAAGAATGACCTGGAACATCTGATCTTCCTGACTCTAGTGCTGGGACAGAGGCGTACAGTGCTATGCCCAGTTTATTGCAGGGGTGCCAGGATCCAAACACAGGTCCTCATGTCTGCAGGGCAGACACTTCATTGAGCCATGTCCTCAGCCATGCTTGTTCCTGTTAAACAAAAGGAGCTGCCATTTCCCTAAGCTGCTGTAGCCATGGACAGAACAGATGAGGGGTCCTAGTGCATCTAAGACATCTGACAGCTGAAGCCCAAATGGGGAGGAATCAGGTACTTTGCTTGCGAGAGAAGAAGGACCGTGATGCTCGTCTGTATCCAGCAGTGATCTAAATGCGAGCAATGAATCAAGAGTGGTTGGCCTCAGCACCCAGGGTTTCTATTGGTCTGCTTTGAACATAGTCATCCAGCGTCTGCGTTAAACTTATTTATTCCCTAATGCTGGCTGATGGATTAAAAGATGTGTAGAAAATCCTTCTATAAGAGATAAGATATTACAGGTGCCAAACACCCCTGGCTCTTTTCACTTTTTTTCCTCTCTCTCTCTCTCTCTCTTGCCTACTTTTTTGCTATTGAGCTCGGGGCCCCTGCCTCATATATCCTGATTAGTTTGTGGAAATTACTAAGGGGTTGTTTTTTAAGCCTATCATTGACACATTTAATTCATTAGGTACCAAATCCACAAGCAAATTTTGGCTGGCCGTAAAACACAGTTAATCCAGGGAGCTGCAATAAAAGGTGAGAAATTATGCCTCAGCAAATGTGGAATATTGCTTTTCTGTAGAGACTTTTACTGGTCTGCGGTATCTTTCTTCATAAATTTCCCTTCTGCTTAGTTCTCTCGGTAACTTAACCATTTGTCACTTGCAGACCGCAGAATGGCTCCATGATCCTCTACAACAGGAAGAAAGTGAAGTACAGGAAGGATGGGTACTGTTGGAAGAAGAGGAAAGATGGGAAAACAACCAGAGAGGACCACATGAAGCTCAAAGTCCAGGGAGTGGAGGTAAAGGGCGGGAAAGGCTCTCCTGTCCCCAAATGTCATTTCTGGGTCGCCACAGAGAATTTGGAATTGCTTGCGAGTGATCTGAGGCCAGTCACCACTGTCAAGGGAATTTTTGTTTGTCAAGTTCCTGCCATTGGCATTGGCCTTCTCACCTGAGAGTTTCTCTTCTGTTTTTTTGGAGCTGACCATGGCCAAAGTGCTCTACCTAGGGGGTCACTGGTGTACAGATGGGGACTGGTGAGGTGCCTGTGGGTTCCTCTACTGTGTTTATCATATGTGTTTCTGGGTGCTTTGGGTTTGTGCTGGGGTGCAGGTCTGGGGAGGACAGGTGTCATCGTGAGGAAGTGCCCTCTCAAGGTACTTTGGCCAACTGGTAATGCCCTTCAGGGCTTGGCAATTCTCCCCATGCTGACAAATATTTCATCTTTCTGCGGGTGTTTTAACTTCAGCAGAGGTTAAAGATAATGAGATGGGTTCTTGGGTGAGCAAGGTTCCTGCAGTGTTGGAGTGGAGAGGGATCTATAGGGATGGCTCAGGATCTGGACCAAACTCAACTTTGGTTTTCCTGGATGCAACCTTGCTATTCTGGCTCTGAGCCAGGGGCAACCTGAGAGAAGTCCCTTCCCTTCAGAGGGTCCCAACCAGGTGTCCCGCAGGACCCGCTGACTAGCCAGTACCAGCTCTTTCACATCCCTTACCAGTCCCACCAAGGGTCTTACCTGCCACCCTCAAAGGGATGTGGCCAGCGATACTATGGGTGAGATCTCGGAAGCCTCCCATGATTCAGCTGGCATTTCAGAGAGGTAAAGGCCCGAGTCCTAGCTACTGTCATGTTGAGTGTCTGGCACGTCTCAGTGGGCAGCAGGGACTGTGAGCACACTTGAGTTCTGAGGATTGCCCTTGGGCACTGACGGGTTTTGTGACACACTTTGTCACGATGATTTTTTTCCCTGTATTAATTATGTGCTTTTATGGCTGCCAAAAATAGCATCAAATGGCTTTTATTATATTACCCCATGGAGAGAGATAACTTTCGTTTTATGTGTATGTGCTTTTTTTTTTTAATATACCAATAAGAATTGTTTTATGGTGATGAATAAGAAAAGCCGCGGTATGAGAAATTCCAGTTCCCTCTCCTCTGCCTCGTGTGCAGTTTAATTGACTGCATGGAACATTAATGTGCAGATTACCCAAACGTGCTACTGGAAAGAACCATCTCCAGCATTGTGACCAGGGTCCTGCTAATACATAGACATTAGCCCTTCTTGCAGGGAGCCCAGAGAGTTGGGGCTTTCCCTCTGGGGTGAGGGGGAAGGCTCTTATCACCCCACAATGGAAAAATAGGTAGTGAGAGAAAGAGAGAGAAAGCTTGGGTGGGGACCAGGAGAAAGGAAGCTGCTTATGCAGGACATAGAGAGCCTGCAGGAATTCACGCTAAACCTCAGCAAGCAGCCCCTGTGCCTGGAGGCCCATGGTATATTTCATCTTTAGTAATACGTAAATCAGGAACTCCTGGTTGTAAGTAACAGCGGGGTGGAATTCGTCCTCAGCAGTAGCTTGGAAACCCAGGGAAAAAAAAAGGCACCGTGTTCATTTTCTTCCCTCTTGTTATAAATTAGAATTGTCACCGGATGGAATGAGAATGATTTATGGCTATTTTTAGGCCATATTTATGTTGGGAGTTATTTGTGGTGCTCAGCCTTGCCGCCTACAGACTAGGTTCCTCGGATGTGGAGGAGGGGGACGCATGCAGATCAGAGAGGGCCATCGATGACCTGCTGGCCGTGAGCGGTAGCTGGAGATTTTCTCTCTGGGTCGCCCTATGAGCAGCTGTGTGAGCGGTGGGACCGGGAGGCCTCCATGGCAATGCCTTGGCCAATGACTGCCTTTGTTTCTGGTTTTGGGGAGAGGGAGGCCACCTGCAGCTGCGCTTCTTGGTGGCTGGTCTTTCCCGTGGCACTTGGAGTGTTAGCCCACTGAACCAGGCAACAAGTACGGGCTGTGTCCCAGCTTTTGTGTGCTCCCTACAGAGGAAGAGGGAGGTGTGGTCACCGCCCACAGACTCAGGTAGAGCAGAAGGTGGCCACGTTTGCACACACTGCTCATTACAGTGCGGAGAGGTGTGACAGGCTGAGCATTTAGGACAAGTGTCCCCAGGAGTCCGGAACGGGCTACAGTGGCCAGAGACGCTTCTTGGGCTAGGTGGGGTGTGAGATGAATTCTTAGAAGTTGGAGACGGTTTTGTGTGTGTGTGTGTGTGTGTGTGTGTGTGTGTGTGTGTGTGTGTGTGTGTGAATAATTGACATGCTGTTTCAGTTTGTCTTAATATCTCTAGCTAAGATGGATCTATGCTGTTTTCTGATCATTTTTGGATGGTTCTATCATATTCCTCTGGATACATACTAAGCCAGTCCCCTTGACTGTGAGACCTTCCAGACTTTTGGCTTTGCCATTACTGCCTGAGTAAGCATCCTTACACAGGTCTTCTTGGGCACATAAGCAGTCTGGACCAGGAATTGCTGGGTGTGAGAGTTTTAGTTTTGCTAGACAATGCCAAATTGCTCTTGAGTGACTGCTCTAATTACATGCCCACCAGCACTGGAAATGACTACTTCCCCTACACCCTCTGGTCCTCAGAAGATGGTAGTGTATGCAATTTGAATTCAAGTTTTTCCTCTCTTATTCATGGGAATGGGCTCCTTCTCATTGGAGTAATTGCCTTTCCACGGTTACGGAATTTTAAATAGCCCAGAGGAAGGGCTTGTTGGCAATATCAACCATTAGTGGTGCTCCTATGTTAGCCGTGCTCTGCAGCAGGGCTGGGAAGCCCAGTGGGTAGTCTTCGCCAGCAGCAGTGGTGCTGTATACTAGGCTTCAAGGTCAGAAATCCACTTCCTCCCTGTGGATTCATCAGGCAGGTCCTGTGTCTAGCACCTGTGTCACCCAAGCCCTAGTCCCCTCCAGCTGCCCTCCTGCTGGATGGACAGCCAGGGTTTTAGAGTTGTGAATGCTTTAGTATCCTCATGGGTTTCCTCCATTCAAGGGCACGATAAAGACATCTGGGTCTATCATTTAACATATCAGTTGCTATAAGCCTTCCCTGAGGCCAGGAAAACTTCCAGCAGGCAGAAGGAAAGCTCAATTCTGGCTCCTTTTGTTCTTGGGGGCTGGGGCCTGCCACACACATTGATTTCCTGAGCTGGGCACAGGGTGTGGGCGGGGCACAGGGTGTGGGCGGGGCACAGGGTGAGGGCGGGACACAGGGTGTGGGCGGGGCACAGGGTGTGGACAGCAGCTTTTGAAGCTGACTAGCTGTTAGTTCGAAATCAGCCATCGAGTCCGGGAGCCAAGGGAGCCTGCTCAGTAACTTTCCAGGGATGACAGAGCTGGTGGGAGGAGAGAGGAGGGCACTGAGATGTCAGCCCCTCACAAATGAGGCCTCAGCACATCTGAAGTGGGTCTTGCCCCCGAGCTGACTCCTGTCTGCTGATCTGGTGTTGCCCCGGGGAAGACTGCTCTAAAGATCACTGCGCCTTAAGAATTCCCACAGCCACGTTCACGCTTGTCAGGTGACAGAAGCAATCAGCCAGAGAGCCTTTCTGGAAGATTCCTTCCCAAGTCTATGTCCCTTTTTCTCTGGCCCCCGATGCTGACAGGCCATTTTATGTCTAATCACACTTCTCCTCAGACTCCTGGTGCGTCCCATGGCCAGACCAGCTCTCAGCTCTCCGTTTCTCCATTCCTTCACTGCCGGGTCTCCAGGGAGACGAGAGCTGTACCCTCAGCGTGTAGACAATCACGAGTTTACAAATCTCCCGTGAACAAGGCATACTGGCTTTGTCCGGTTCTCCTAAAGACATCTGTGCAGAACACATAGTGTCTTACCTGTTCTGTAGATGGTCAGGCCTTCAGAGAAAGGGCTGGAGCCTGAGCGTTCTCCGCTGTTGTCCCTGGCACTCAGGGTGATCTTAGGTTTTCCTGTCAGCTCAGCTCATGCTAGTCAGCGTGTGTGGTCCACCCTTCAGCCACTTACTGGGTGCTTATCACCTACTAGCATTGTGACAGGTACTGAGGGGTGCAGGGGTGCAAAGAAGGGTGTGTGGTCCCTAGTCTCAGGAGGAGACAAAATCTTAGGGTTTTGACGTGTGCTGGGAGAATTCGAGGGTCCTGTGAGGAAAATGTAGGCAACATTGAAATGAAGGCAGACCTGGTTTTAGGGCCCAGCACAGATGGAGGTAAAGCTATTCAGGTGACAGATAAAGGTTAGGAAATGCGTGGGCAATGACAGTCTGTTGAGAAACAGTCCATGGAACTGTCCCCAACAAATGACTGGCTTGGTGGCATGTGGGTGTTTTTCCCAGCCCTGGCCAAACTGGATATCCTCTTCCTGGTGCCTGGACTATTGCATGAGCCTTTTCGTGGGCCCCTCCTCCTCCCCCCCGCAACTCCATCCCCTGCTGCTCAGATGGAGAGTCAGGGATAGACAGAAGTGCAAGTCTACCAATTCCCGACATGGGGAAACTAAAGAGTTTGTTGTGCTCACTGACAGGGCAGGGGCGAGGGGTGCTTAGATGAGTTCAGGTCACCCCAAAGTGGCCACGCCACCAGAAAGTCATGATGATGACGTGTGTCCCCCCCCCCACAGCACAGCTGCAGCCCCTCCCCAGCTAGCCTCCCACAAGGCCACAGGCCCTTAGGGGAGAATTACCTACAGCTGGGACAGAGGGCCGGGGCACTGCTGGCACTGAGGTGAGGGTCTTGTGCCCCCCGCCCCCCATTCCTCCTTCTCACTTCAGCAGACCAGATCTTAAGGGTGACATTCAAATAGTCTCAGCTTCTCTGGTGAAGACAACAATGGCTGCTGTGCTTAGAGGACAGAGCTCTACTACAGGTCCCTCTGTCCGATCTTAAGATGTCCCTTGATGAAGACAGTCTGCCTGTGGGGCCAGTGAATGGGTCTGGTATTGAGGTTACCTGCTGGTACAGTGGGAGACCCGACCCAGCCCTGCTTCCAACAGAACCCGTCATTCTGTGATGAAAGGATGTCCCCGACCTGGACCAGCCCTGGGTGGAAACGCCAGTCCATTTGCTCTGACTGTCATTTTCGGATGTGAACATTTTGCTGATGTGTTGTGCTGCCTGGAAAGAGCCCAGTGTCTCTCATTTCTCCATTAAGCACCTTCAAGCTAGAAGGCGGCGTTGGCACAGCAGTGGCCGTAATGAGGTTAGGTTTGGGGACTCGTCCTCATTAGAATGATGTTCTTTATTTGAGCACTTAGGCCACATATTAAAAAAGAAGAAAAAAAGGACCTCTTTCAAGAGTAGAAACGATATTGTAGTTACTGCATTAGGAATTAACAGGGCATGAAATAACCGCCTCGCAGCAGAGCCAGATCCCTTCAGCTCTGTTCCCAGCCATAAGATAAATAGGTATCTTGCTTGCAGATGATGGGAAATGCTCGCAGTAGCCAGCCTAAACAGGTCTGGTGCCCAAATCAAGTTTGGGAAACAGCAGTGAACAGATAAGGAGGGAACCTGGCTAACGAAACAAGGGAGGGCCCAGCAGCCCACCTGCGCCACTGTGTACATTTGACACATGCAGTTTCTGCTCTCAGTCAAGGGTTGTGTTTGATCCCTGTCACTTCCCGTAGACTCACCATGCACTGACAGTGTCCCTCGTGCAGATCATGTTTCTTCCTGTGTCGTTGCCACATGGCTTTTGGGTTTTCCAGGATCAGGCCCTGATCTCCAGCCAGAAGGAAGTACTTCCTCCTCTTGCTGCCCTCGGACTTCACCTGTGCCCTTCTTAGGGGAGGAGTGTGCTCTTCTGTGTATCTGTGTATCCAGCACATAGATGGCTGGACACTTTATGTCTTCTGTGCTAAGGCTCTGTCTGGTGTCTGGACACTGGGGACTTCCGGGTGTTGGGTGTGGAGGAAGAATGCCATGTTCGACAATGTGCAGAAACAATGCCAGTTGTTTCCATATGATATGGCCAGTGAGCCCCACAATCCTCCTGTTCTGCTCTCTCCACCCTGGGGTTACAGATGTGTGTGGCCATGCCTGGTGTTTTATGTGGGTGTTGGAGATCTGAACTTGGGTGTTCATGCTTGCAAAGCAAGCATTGAATGACTTATTCTATTTACAAGATCATTTTTATTATTTTCAATTATGTGCATGTGTGAGGATCTGTATGGGGTTTGTGCACGTGAGTGTCGTGCCCTTGAAGACCAGAGCCCATAGATTCCCTAGAGCTAAAGTTGTAGGCAGTTGTGAACTGCTAGATGTGGGTGTTGGAAACCAAACTCTGGTCTTCTGCAAGAGCAGCGAGTACTTGTCACTGAAGGATCCTCTCTCTGGTAGCTTATTGTCCAGGTTTAGAGTGTCTGCTGACCTTACTTCCCCCCTCCTGGGGTCTGGGAGTGAGAGCTGCTGTGTGTCTGAGAAACTTTGTGGTCACCATGTTGCCTGGGCTTCAGGTATCCGGTTATCCTATGTGGTAGATATTTACTCTCCATTGCTTGCATAGCTGAGACTTGGAACTGGGTCATGGGAGGAGTAGGGAGATGATAGAAAGGGAGAGGAGAGGAGGGGGAGAGGAGAGGAGAGGAGATGGGGAAAGGATAGACTCCAAGATACACAGTTAAGGGGCCTGGAGAGATGAGATGGCCCAGTGGGTAAAATACTTACTGTGCATGTCTGAGGACATGAATTTGGATCCTCAGTACCCATGCAAAAGCTTAAAGAAGCAGCATGCATCTATAGCCCAGTGGTGGGCGGTGGGGTAGGCATAGAACCAGGTTCCTGAAGCTCACTGGCCGGCCAGCCTGGCTGAAACATCGAGCTCCAGGCTCAAGGAGAGAGACCCTGTCTCATAAAGTAAGATGGAGAGGAATAGAAAAAGCTACCTGATGTCGACCTCTGACCTTCGCATGCCTCTACGTGGGCTACCACCTCACTATGACATACACAGACTGGTGCTGATTAGGAGAAACAGTAAATACTATTTCAGTCCAGGTACATCTCAAACATTTCACGGGGTGTGTTTATGGTAAATGGCACCTGCCATGTCTTTGAACTCACATTGCGTTGGCTCCTGTTATTTACCTGGTCACTCTTCTGCCACGACCACAGTTTCTTTTGTATCTTTGCCGAAAGGAGCTAGTCAGCTTTGGGTTCAGGTGTCACGGAGGACATGAGGGCCAGCATCCTCCACTCTCTCTGATGAGCCACGCACTTCCCCAATGCTGGGCTTCTGGGGTGAGGGTACAGCATCCACCATGGAGCCCAGGGCTTTCTCAGTGGTGCTGGGACAACAGCTTGTGGATAGAGATGTGCCACAAAGAACCTTAAAGGAAATGTAATTCTTGTTTCTTCTAAATGGTGAAATAAAATGTCCTGTAAATCTGATCTGAGCCTTCGTGCCCTGGACACTTCCTTGTGGAGGCAGCTCAGCAGACCATCAACTGGATTGGCTGAACTTATGTTTAATTTGTATCTTAATGGTTCCTAAAGGTCCTGTCAAGTTCATCCATGAGGCCGTGAGTGGGAAGTTTAGCAGATTCAATGACAACCACATAAACCCTTGGCTACCACTATCAGACTCACCAAGGGCTCTTTTCCACCTGAACCGCTACATAGAACTCAAGATGAGGGCTCCTCACATGCTTGGGACCACCCATCATGACCTCACGCAGAGCTGGGCATGCGTTTGAGACAGTGGTATGTATTTGTCTCTTGGTGGACAGTCAGATGTAGATGCAGTTGCTTGTCGGGTGGGGAATACCTCTGGCCTTCACTTGACTGAATGGCAAATGGCCTGGTGTCTTCCCGTTCTTAGCATTGCCAGGTGCAGTTATGGCCACCCTTCGGGATAAGTCCCTGTGGGGAGCCCCGTACCCTGTGGGCTCGAGTCTAATCTGCTGCAGGAGAGCTGCCGCTGCTTCTCTTGAGTCAGCAGAGGGAAGACAGAAGACGTAAGCTCTGCACAGTATCCAGCCACAGTTATGGGGAAACAGAGGGATCCTGGAGGGGGAAGACGGAAGAGCTGCTGGGAAACAGACAAGGAGGGCTGGCCACCCCTCTGGCTGCCAAGGTTGAGGTTCTTGGGCAGCACCAGCTGGTCGCCACGTTCTGAGTGGTTGTGTGGTTTTTACTGTTGATCTCACCTTATCTGTCTCCCTGGAAACCAGAATGGGAGGCAGGAAGTTGATGACTATGTAGGAGAGCTTTTGTGTTTTCTCCTGTTAGGTAGCCTTGCATTTCCATTTCTATGACTCTGTTCTAATCCTGGGGAAGGGCGGGTGTCTTCCAGGTGCACCCAAGGGCTCATATCCTACTCTGACTAAAACTGGGACCAGTGCGCATGTCACAGAGTTAGTTCACTTTGTGTGTTGCCTGGCTGCTCACAGGTGACCTGTAGACCATGAGGTCCACATCACCCTAGAAGACTTACAGCCTGTCTGCTCTGCTGCCCTGCCACAAGTGGCCTTGGTTCATGGATCCCCCATGTGACTCCCTTACCCCTTTGATATGCAAATTACCCCTTGGAGCTCCATCTTGCGGCTGGCTGGCAGGGTCCTATTTGGGCATCTCATGCCAAGAACTGATGATGCCTTAGCAGTTAAGAACACTGGCTGCTCTTGCAAAGGACTCACTCAAGCTTGGTTCTCAGGGTCCACAGGGTGGTTCCCAGCCATCAGTCACTGCAGCTCCAGGGCAGCTAGTGCCTCTTGTGACCTCTGCTGGTACCAGGATGCACACGTATACAAGAAGGCAAAACACTCATGCCCATAAAATAAAAAATAAGTCAGTCTAAAAAAATTGTTTTGAATGAGTTTTGTTCTGTCTTAAGGGAAAAAGTCAAAAGGAAAATTTCACAAGACAGTGTGACAATTTGTTACTTGACTGCTGGCACCTCTTGGAAATCTCTAACTAAATTCTCTGTTGGTGTGGTTGATCCTGCCATTCCTCAGTTGCCCTTGGCAATGCAGGACAAGAATACCAATTTTCTGAAGCAAAAGACGCCAGCTGGCACTGACCCACAAGCTTCT